TATTTTAAAACAAGTAACTCGGGCCCAGTTCGTAGAGAAGATGGATTTGCTGTATTTTAAAACAAGTAACTCGGGCCCAGTTCGTAGAGAAGATGGATTTGCTGTATTTTAAAACAAGTAACTCGGGCCCAGTTCGTAGAGAAGATGGATTTGCTGTATTTTAAAACAAGTAACTCGGGCCCAGTTCGTAGAGAAGATGGATTTGCTGTATTTTAAAACAAGTAACTCGGGCCCAGTTCGTAGAGAAGATGGATTTGCTGTATTTTAAAACAAGTAACTCGGGCCCAGTTCGTAGAGAAGATGGATTTGCTGTATTTTAAAACAAGTAACTCGGGCCCAGTTCGTAGAGAAGATGGATTTGCTGTATTTTAAAACAAGTAACTCGGGCCCAGTTCGTAGAGAAGATGGATTTGCTGTATTTTAAAACAAGTAACTCGGGCCCAGTTCGTAGAGAAGATGGATATGCTGTATTTTAAAACAAGTAACTCGGGCCCAGTTCGTAGAGAAGATGGATATGCTGTATTTTAAAACAAGTAACTCGGGCCCAGTTCGTAGAGAAGATGGATTTGCTGTATTTTAAAACAAGTAACTCGGGCCCAGTTCGTAGAGAAGATGGATTTGCTGTATTTTAAAACAAGTAACTCGGGCCCAGTTCGTAGAGAAGATGGATTTGCTGTATTTTAAAACAAGTAACTCGGGCCCAGTTCGTAGAGAAGATGGATTTGCTGTATTTTAAAACAAGTAACTCGGGCCCAGTTCGTAGAGAAGATGGATTTGCTGTATTTTAAAACAAGTAACTCGGGCCCAGTTCGTAGAGAAGATGGATTTGCTGTATTTTAAAACAAGTAACTCGGGCCCAGTTCGTAGAGAAGATGGATTTGCTGTATTTTAAAACAAGTAACTCGGGCCCAGTTCGTAGAGAAGATGGATTTGCTGTATTTTAAAACAAGTAACTCGGGCCCAGTTCGTAGAGAAGATGGATTTGCTGTATTTTAAAACAAGTAACTCGGGCCCAGTTCGTAGAGAAGATGGATTTGCTGTATTTTAAAACAAGTAACTCGGGCCCAGTTCGTACGAACTACAGCAAATCTATCTTCTCTACGATCGTAGAGAAGATAGATTTGCTGTAGTTGTCAGTTTACGGACAAATAAAGTCGAAAAGCATTAATCAGAATATGTTTTAGGCTGTCCCAAAATTTCGGATTCTTTTTCTGGAGTTTGAAATTGGCGGGAATTTTAAAACTCTCGGTACCAAACCAATATTTTCAGCGCAGAGTTTTAGCGCGCGGCAAGAGCACACACGTATTTTTGCATTGAATCCGCGCGTTATTTGCACGTGCACTTCTACAGATTAAAATTTGGAGAGGGCCCTTACTGCTTACATTACTAAGTTGTTATGTAGTAATATTGTGAATCTGTCCGAAACTGGAAACAAATCTTGTAAAATTTTACGAATAGAAGTTATAGTATTACTTGACTGTAAAAATTTACTGAGTTTCACTTCCATATTTCAGGATCCGACCGCTGATATTAAAATTGAAGAGTTAGATTTCATTGGAACATGGAATTACTGTAATGGAAAATAAAACAGGTCTTGCTGAGCACTGAGGATGAAGAAATGTTATGTGGGGAGAAAATGGGCTACTGGAAGTGGACCTTCTTAAACAAAGACGACTTTCACAAAATGTTTAAAAGATCACGGTCGCGGCATCGAACCTTGGACGCTTCCCCTGCCACTGTCAGACACTCAAATTGGAATAGTAGTGTGCGCTACTCGAGCTGTTGATATAAGAGTTCTTCGGTGTTATTTATATAATTGTAATATGTAATGACTGACAGTGCGAGATATCTTTTTTTGTTTCTATTTGATGTGTTTAGTGTTTGTGTTGCATTCTAATATAAACCGCGTATTAGTTTCGTGTCAATTTTAAATTTGATAAGTTTATCTTTAAACTGTATTTATTAGCAGTAATAGTTACATTTTGGTATTATCCATATATTTATTATTGTAATACTGTTGTATAATGCTGTTTCTTCCTCATTGTAGCTTACATATAGGATAGCATACTTTGCTATGATCTTTAATCACAGTTGACAATACTTGATTAGAGTTAATGATTGTACGCGTTTGAAATCTTGATTTGATATAATCATTATAACCTTTACTAATATTCAGATGAATGAATTTGATGTTTTATTTTTCCTCGGCACTATTGAAAATCCTTTAAGGGATAGAATCGGCACTGTCAAATTTCTTTAAAAGGTTCGTAAACGGAATTACAGTCGATCTCCTGACAAATTTATGCCGAAAATTTGTTTTAATACGCGCAGCAATATGAAGCCCGCGGCGTTCGCCGGGGTGCCCTACCTCCCTGCAACCCCCCCCCTTCCATTTCTCCCCCCCTTCCTTCTGCTTTCTTTTGCAGCTGAACTTATATGAACTCTCATGCAGCTCTCTTGCCTACCCAGAAAACCTTACCGCCTGCTGGGCTTGCTAGAGGTGATAGATTTTCAACAGCACGTATGGCGTCGCGCGTCACGTCAAGTTTACCTTTCGCACGCTGCATTGAGCCTAGTAGTCATGACAACGACATTTCTTTGCAAAGTTTAAAAGCTGTGATCATTTATTTAGCCCAAAATCAAACTTTTCGGTTTAATTCAGAATCTACGTTGTCCCCAATTTGGCTCCTGGGGAGCCAACTGTAAATTCACGAGACGGAAATTTTGTTGAAAACCGGAAGGTTCTATTTATTTTACTTTTGGAGATATACCCCAGATGGTAGGGTTTGCTGGGTACTCAAAACGTTTCGCGGTTGCGAATGCCAGCCCATCGAGGAAAATCTTTTTACTTTGTATTTTAACCATTATAAAGTATGATTAGTCGGATATAGTACTGAGTTCAAACAGTCCCCGAAACGAAAAAGCAAACATTTGATTTTTGTTTCGGCGACTGAATCGTTGATAGGCCGGCAAATATTTGTTGTCGAGTAGTGTTGAATACTCATATTAACATGATTATTGATTTAATTTAGGAATTGTATATAACCATCTTTGACCAAGTTTAATTGTTAATGAGAATGCACCCGGCCCAGCACTGGGCGCGCGCGGCGGCTTTGATGTTAGCGGCTACAAGCTTGAAGCTAGGCAGCGGCAGAAAAAACGCCGCGCGCGTTCACAGTTCAGCGTACGGCTTTTCGTTTTTGATTTCACAAATGACAAAGCAACTTTTAATGATTATTAATGGAATTATCGGATATTTATAATTCAATATGTATTGATTCTTCTGTGGAAAATAAAAATTGTATTTTACTTAAATTGTATTTTACTTTGTTACTAGATCTTAAGTCTTTGAACCTAGAATTTTTGTATCACGTTGTAACCCCCACAGTCGTTTTACTATATCGTTTCACTTTATCGTCCTGACGATACAGGAGGAGCCGCGCACTTTTCCGCGGCGGGTCATACAACGTATGACAAAGAATTTTATATACATTTTTAAATTTTATGATAATGTGTGATGATGTTTGTGTCGTCATAATATTTGATTTGATTTTATTTGCTGATTGGCGTAATATATATATAAGATGGGTTTGGGTTAATTGTTAATTGACGATGTCAATTCATCTCAGCTCGGCGCGGCACAGCTAGTAGCGCATCGCACAGTAATGCATTGCGCTACAAGGTTTGGGTTTCAATGTACTGGGGAGTACTGGGGAGTAATTACATAAAATGATAGTTTATTGATTGGTAAAATTGATGTGGTCCACATTCAGAAGATCGTGATCGATGCTAAATTCACACTCTTTGAAATGGTTAACTTCATAATTCGAAAACCGAGTAAAATAGAATAAATCGCTAAATAAAAACACTTTTCAAGTGTAGAAACTTTTTTCACCTTTCGGTTCTTTAAATGAGAAAACCAGCCATTCCCTGATATGATCTTGTGGTTTGGTATAGATAATTTCTACACTTTATCTATACCAAACCACAAAATCAGGGAATGGCTGGTTTTCTCATTTAAAGAACCGAAAGGTGAAAAAAGTTAAAGCTGTTTAGTCCCAGTTTTACTAGTTATTGCAGGTAACTTTTTTTAAATTTTTACCTGTGATATCTTAGAATGCGAGGTTGGATTTTGATCGTTTTTTCCCTACTTTTTTGTCTCCAGCAGCTATATCGCGTGTAAACAAATTCTTAAACTGACCTTGTCTAGTCTTAAGCAATACCTGAATACTATTACTAAAGCCATTTATACTAATAATCCCAATAAGTGTGTGTGTACATGTGTTTGTAATTTCCGAACGGTTTAATTTAGAAAACGGTAAGAGTTATGGGATTGGTTTTTTCAGTATAGTTTTGACAAAACGCCGGGTCCAGAGTTAAATTTACTCTAATGCGGCTGGTTTCGACTGAGCGAGTTCATACTTTGCACTGTTTAAACTTTCGCATTTCAAATGCGATAATGAAGTCCTGGCCGTAGGTACTGGTTCAGTGGCGTAACGAAAGGCCCTGCTGACCCCGCTGTGCAGGGGGGCGCCGTCTTAGGGGGGCGCCAAATCGTCGTTTGAATGTGGGACAATTTCAAAAACTTAACTAAAGTACTAGCAAAACTGCGCGTTTTGCTCTAGATACACACTTTTTTAGAGATTTTACCGGCGTATTCTCTAAAATCACCTAATTTGTTAAATTTTAGGGAGGGGCACTAAAAGGGGAGGGGGCGCCAACAGGGGGGCGCATTTTTCGGCAGGGGGGCGCCAACAGGCAACGTTACGCCACTGTACTGGTTACACTAGTAATGACAATAAAGTCACAAAAATGTGCCATTTTAAACATTATGGTGCCCAATAATGATGGATTTACTATCTTGAGCAGTCCATGTGCGTGGAAGTATGGGAAAATGCTCGGTTAATAAACATATTCAATCATGCCACTAATTATTTTTCTGCTCCTTTCAATCTGTGTTGTCGAAGAATTCAGTATTATTATATTTTATCCTACTAGTGATGGTTAGAGCAGGACTGGGAGCGCAGGAGGTAAAGAAACTGAGGTTCTGGCAGTTAGCAGTTAGTGAACTGGTGGGAACTCTGTTTGTGGTACTCTTCACTTCTCTTCTTGTCAGCAGACATGATGGAAAAAGTGTTATCATGACCGTAAGGTAATTGTATGTTGCTGGAGTGGTGTAACAAAGGGCCCCGCTGACCCGCTGCTGTGCAGGGAGGGGGGGGGGGGCATCTTAGCTTGGGGGGGTGGGGGGGGGCGCCAAATCATTATTTGAATGTGGGACAATGTTGAAAAACTTTTCTTCTGGATGGTTACCGTAATGGGTGCCAAATGCCTAGCATGACATATTTACTTACTAACTTGCACTTGTGTAGTTCTGTAGAAGCATTAGTATCGGGCGTTGCCTGCTACAGGCTATCCCGAAACTAGAAGCTTGCTTTAATAATAATAACTGAGATACTGAGGTACTAGCAAAATGCGCGTTTTGCTCTAGAAAGTTCACACTTTTACAGAGATTTGACTGGCGTATCCTCTAAAATCACCTAATTTGTTCAATTTTAGGGAGGAGCGCCAAAAGGGGAGGGGGCGCCAACAGGGGGGTGCCAACAGGCAACCTTACGCCACTGTGTTGCTGATTAATTTATATGACCGTACGCGTAAGGTAATTGTATATTGCTGATAACTCTATATAAAGCTTATATTAACAACATGGGAATATAGGTGACCACTAACAAACAATATAAAACAAATCCATTCTTTCAGTCTGGTAACTGGTCTAGTTTACTCTACAGTTCTGTTTATATTTGGTAACCATGGTTACTTCAATCCAGCCATCACTATATCTCTCTTTTGTGCTCAACGGGTATGGAAAGTTTCACTCTAGTTTTTAGCAAAGATTGTTTAAAGAAATGTTTCCACAAGGGGAGCATATTTGAAACTTCACAGCCATTTACGTATCAGTTCAGGAGGTGAACGGGATTCCCAGTTCTGGGAATCCCGGTACCGGGATTGGCAATTTTGAGCTATCCCGGTCCCGGTCTCGGTCAAATGCTGATTTATTTATTTATGATCCCGATCCCGGTCCCGGTCCCGGTCCCGGTTAATTCGGGATTCTTGGTCCTAGTCCCGGTCAATCACTCAAATTTGCCGGGATTTTGACCGGGATCTTTTACAAAATTTCATTCACTGTGATTTTAAGTTTTTCCTTTCATTCATTGTGAATTTCATCTTTAAACATCCTCTGAGCCAAATACAACAATGTTTAAAATTGCTAAACAAGTTTGAGTTATAAATTATGATCCCCACTAATATCCACCTCAGATCCCCACTAATATCCACCTCAGATCCCAACTAATATCCACCTCAAATCCCCACTAATATCCACCTCAGATCACCACTAATATTTACCTCAGATCCCCTCTAATATCCACCTCAAATCCCCACTAATATCCACCTCAGATCCACACTAATATCCACCTCAGATCCCACTAATATCCACCTCAGATCCCACTAATATCTACTTCAGATCACCACTAATATTTACCTCAGATCCCCTCTAATATCCACCTCAAATCCCCACTAATATCCACCTCAGATCCACACTAATATTCACCTCAGATCCCCACTAATATCCACCTCAGATCCCCACTAATATCCACCTCAGATCCCCTCTAATATCCACCTCAAATCCCCACTAATATCCACCTCAGATCCACACTAATATTCACCTCAGATCCCCACTAATATCCACCTCAGATCCCCACTAATATCCACCTCAGATCCCCACTAATATCCACCTCAGATCCCCACTAATATCCAGCTCAGATCCCCACTAATATCCACCTCAGATCCCACTAATATCCACCTCAGATCCCACTAATATCTACTTCAGATCACCACTAATATTTACCTCAGATCCTCTCTAATATCCACCTCAGATCCCCACTAATATCTACTTTAGATCCCCACTAATATCTACTTTAGATCCCCACTAATATCTACCTCAGATCCCCACTAATATCCACCTCAGATCCCCACTAATATCTACCTCAGATCCCCACTAATATCCACCTCAGATCCCCACTTATCTACCTCAGATCCCCACTAATATCTACTTTAGATCCCCACTAATATCCATCTCAGATCACCACTAATATCCACCTCAGATCACCACTAATATCTACCTCAGATCCCCACTAATATCTACTTCACATCCCCACTAATATCCACCTCAGATCCCCACTAATATCTACTTCACATCCCCACTAATATCCACCTCAGATCCCCACTTATCTACCTCAGATCCCTACTAATATCTACCTCAGATCCCCACTAATATCCACCTCAGATCCCCACTAATATTCAACTCAGATCCCCACTAATATCCACCTCAGATCCCCACTAATATCCACCTCAGATCCCCACTAATGTCCACCTCAGATCCCACTAATATCCACCTCAGATCCCACTAATATCTACTTCAGATCACCACTAATATTTACCTCAGATCCTCTCTAATATCCACCTCAGATCCCCACTAATATCTACTTTAGATCCCACTAATATCTACTTCAGATCACCACTAATATTTACCTCAGATCCTCTCTAATATCCACCTCAGATCCCCACTAATATCCACCTCAGATCACCACTAATATCTACCTCAGATCCCCACTAATATCTACTTTAGATCCCCACTAATATCCACCTCAGATCCCCACTAATATCCACCTCAGATCCCCACTTATCTACCTCAGATCCCCACTAATATCCACCTCAGATCCCCACTAATATCTACTTCACATCCCCACTAATATCCACCTCAGATCCCCACTAATATCTACTTCACATCCCCACTAATATCCACCTCAGATCCCCACTTATCTACCTCAGATCCCTACTAATATCCACCTCAGATCCCCACTAATATCCACCTCAGATCCCCACTAATATTCAACTCAGATCCCCACTAATATCCACCTCAGATCCCCACTAATATCCACCTCAGATCCCCACTAATGTCCACCTCAGATCCCAACTAATATCCACCTCAGATTCCACTAATGAGAATGTGTGTTTATGTGGTGAGCCAACTAGCCGGAGCAATCGCAGCGCAACTCATCGCCAGTCACATCATGTTAACTACTTGGTACTCTAGTTATGGTCCTGGTGCCACTATGCCTAGCACAAGCGTCAATAGTTTTCAGGTTATCTTTCAGTAATATGTAGGACATGTTACTTATTGATTTAAAATAAACGTGACAGAACTTAAAAACCCTTGTAAATTTTGTAAGTTTATTTTATGAATATGAAGGAATAAGAGATCATTTGATACCTTTTTGTTATTTTTGTATATTAGCGATCTCAGTGCTGATAATTCCGTCACACATTTTAAAATATACGAGGGATGTTTAGGACACCCTGACAAGGAATGCAGTATAGCAATATTTGATGACCTGGAAGTGTTGGGAATTGTTAACATATCACACAGTTTAAGCTAATAAAACACTAAATGCATACAAAAAATAATGGCGGGTTAAAATGTGGCGGAATTTTCGAATAACCGCCAAATTTAACCCGCCATAATTAAACGAGCTAAGGTAATTGATAATACCGCTTATTTTCAGCTGTTTTTAGCCGAGTTTGCAGGAAGCGCTGTTATCTCTGCAGCCATCAGCACTAAATGCTCCGGAATGATTATAGGACTCACCATTACTACAATAACTGCTATCATGGTATTTTGTTAATTCTTTGTAAAACCTACTTTATTTAACAATTCAATGACAATAAAATACTTATACAGCCTTGTTTACCTTCTATTTTGCATAAAGTTATGTTTTCAGTTTCCATTCGAAATGGGCTGTTTGAATCCAGCTAGAGCGATAGCAACTAACATCGCATCAGGCAAAGTGGGCGAATATAGCTGGGTAAGATAATATCTTATTTAGAGTGATAGACTGTAGTTTGACACAGTGTCCCAAACAAACAAATCCTAACGGCACCATGAAGGGTGTTTATATAACTTATGTTTACAATTATTTCCGGGAATTATATCCTCAAAAAGTCGTGAACACTGAGGCAGTGGCGTAACGTTGCCTGGTGGCAGTTTTGCTAGTACCGTAGTTAAGTTTTTAAAAATTATCCCACATTCAAACGACGATTTGGCGCCCCCTAAGATGCTCACAATATTACGTGACATGCACTCAAACTCGCGCATAAAAATGCACACAGTCAAGAATGACGAAAACATATTATTGCACCCCACTGTCATCTATGGCACTAGGAATTTGAAACAAAGTCTGCTTCCAAAATTTTAAGACGCTAGCTTAGAGCTACATAAGTACATAAAGAGCGAACCACCTGAGAAACACAAAAAAATATCTCCAAATGAGTAGAGTTGGACTTTCCGTTCCATTTGTTCCGTGGAACGATATTTGACGAAAGTCGATTATCTTGAGATCTGAATGGTAGATTTTCTTTAAACTTGTCAGATAGTTACATGGCTATAATACGGATAATCTGTGCGAGTTTGGGCTAATTTCTATGTGCCAAAATTGAGATATCACCTCAAACACAAGAAAATATCTCCAAATGAGTGAAGTTGGACTTTCCGATCCATTTGTTCCGCGGAACGATATTTGACGAAAGTCGATTATCTTGAGATCTGAATGGTAGATTTTCTTCGAACTTTCCAGATAGTTACATGGCTATAAGACGGATAATCTGTGAGAGTTTGGGCGAATTTATATTTGCAAAACTTTAGATATCACTTCAAATACAAGAAAATATCTCCAAATTGGCGGTATGTCAAATTTGTCATATGCGTATGGCGCGATGACAAATCAATATACAAAATAAAAACGAAGAACATCTACCATGATACAATTGCGCGGCTTTAACTATGCTTTTATTTGAGGTCGTTAGATATTAGGTCTAAACCTAATACAGTAAAACCCAGATTTATGGCAGCTTACCCCCCCCCCCCCCCCCCCAAACTCCGTGGTAAATCAGGTTGTCTCAACTCACAGTTCTTGTTTTTACTTTCGATAACTAAATCCCCCACATGATGTGATGATGTACTTTTAGGGGCATCACCCTTCATGAATCACGAGTAACGAGTAAGGGAATGTTAACATTTACCGGTAAACTAGTTTTCAGTAACACAGTAATAAGTAATTAGAGTAACTATCTGGAATAAATTTCCCAGGTGTATTGGTTGGCTCCAACTTGTGGGGCTGTCTCAGCGCGACTCCTCATGTTAGCTGTGGACAAGATAGAGATATACCCGGAGGAGATAGACCAAGCTAGACACAAGCTTCTCAGCGATCACTCAGACTGACACAGTCTTGCAGGACTGCAGGTGCAATGTGCAGGTGCAATGTGCAGGTGCAATGTGCAGGTACAATGTGCAGGTACAATGTGCAGGTGCAATGTGCAGGTACAATGTGCATGTACAATGTGCAGGTGCAATGTGCAGGTGCAATGTGCAGGTGCAATGTGCATGGCAGGTGCAATGTGCAGGTACAATGTGCAGGTACAATGTGCAGGTGCAATGTGCAGGTACAATGTGCATGTACAATGTGCAGGTGCAATGTGCAGGTGCAATGTGCAGGTACAATATGCATGTAAAATGTGCAGGTGCAATGTGCAGGTACAATATGCACGTACAATGTGCAGGTACAATGTGCAGGTGCAATGTGCAGGTACAATGTGCAGGTGCAATGTGCAGGTGCAATGTGCAGGTGCAATGTGCAGGTGCAATGTGCAGGTGCAATGTGCAGGTGCAATGTGCAGGTGCAATGTGCAGGTACAATGTGCAGGTGCAATGTGCAGGTGCAATGTGCAGGTGCAATGTAAGTATGATATTATGAACTTGAGGACTTGAGGAGTCAACTAAGATCACAGAAAACAGGGTTTACTAGTTCTACCAGCTAACTTGTCTTGACACTGGGTCCTGAGCCCTATTGTATTGAGTTCTTCATCTGATTGCAATTTGCAGGAGACAATACACCAGTCTGTTTTTCAGTTATTTACAATTTATTAGTTATTCCTAACCTATCGACTTTCATTCATGTCAAATTTGTTAAAACTAACTTCTCTAAAATTTATTTATATTCGTTATTAGATTTCCTCTAATCATAATTTGTCTCTGCTTCAAATCAAAACATTTAGTAAATCTCTCAATTTCTGATTATAAAGAATAGAGAACAGGCCTGGAGGGGTTACTAGAATAGCACTTCAGGCTGATATCCTTGCCGACACTCTATGATTATATTGCCTGGCTGCCACTTAAACCCTCTATCCGTTGTTTGCAGCCAATGGCAGTGTAGCAGCTCTCTGTGGCGTAGTGACACGTGTAGCCCTGGTGTGTGTGATTACTGATGTGACCATAGTGTTATCATTACTGATACACGCTCCAGCTCATGTCACCCCTCCTTCTGCAAATTTGAGGTGAGTGGAATATCTTATTTGATTGTCTGTTTATCATTATAACTGATATTTTCAGGGGGATAATTGTTTTCTTAAACACACCATGTACCTAGTATGAATACTGGTAGTATTATAATATGTACCTACTCTTTATGATCTGAATTGTCGGGCTAAACGTATGATGTTATGTTTTACCATGGTCGTACCACTCCATTGAAAAAGACACCACTGAAAGAAGAAAAGCAATTACATTCTAACTTGCAGGCCCAGAGAGAACAATAGGACTCATTTCCCCGCTTTTGTGTCTGCGACCTTCAGATCAGGGAGATCCTGTTACAGTCTTGCCTGGTACCTCGGTTACCTCGGTTGCATTGTAGTTGTCACCTTCCGGCTTCCAAATAGCTTTAGAGACTGATACGGATTGTTCTCTTATAATAATAAGAGTATTTACTGGTACGGTGGGTGGGAAGATGCAGTGTAGCGCCGCAAGGTTGCTGCTGTCACTACTAGTCGGGCGTAGGCAAACTGATCACTCATCAGCGCTATAATTTTAATAGCCGTTTTGTTTTTGTTGACAAAGTTGTCTTACAACGTAAATGCCTGTAAGCATATTTTACTTCAACCCCTGACCCACATGACCCACGTGACCCACATGACCCTTGACCCACATGCCTACCATCTGCCACATTTGAATCTTGAAATCAATTTTACATCTGCATATCCCTTTTCGCCTGTATGTAGGGTATTTACTGCGCATGTTTCGCAAAAGCTACTGGCAAGTGAACCCCCTATTAAAGATCCTGCCTATGATCCTCAGCGTCAATTATTGGTCCTAAATCTGGTATCCGGTACGCCAAAGTTTCATGAAGTATTCGAATAAACGAAGGTTTAATTATAATCCAATATATATATGAACTACTAACAGTTGTAGATGTAGTAGTATAGTAGTAGTATAGCTATAGTAGTTTATGTTTTTCAGATTCTGCTGTTAGATTTATATTTATATCTTTAACGGTGGAGGACCATCAATTCTTTATCTTCTTATTCTAAAACATGCCTTACAAGACATTAGGTGTTGTTTCATACTCACACTACCTGTCACCTGACGTCTCCTACTCACTGACTATTCGCACTAGTCAGCTTACCTAGCTTTGTTACTATTTTAAAAACTCATTTGTGTACGTTTTCATTATTTTCCGGGTCTTCTGACAAGAAACGTTAATAATACTGAAGCAATTTTCCGATTTTAATGACATTAAAACATTTCTTTCATTCAAATTTCTGATTGTTTCTGAATAGACTCAGTGAAGACAGATTCTAATGGAATTTATTTATTTCCATTAGAATCTGTCTTCACTGAGTCTATTCAGAAACAATCAGAAATTTGAATGAAAGAACTATCAAATCATGAGACTCAATAACACTTCACGAATCCACCAGACATTAAAACAGTTAGGCCAACAAGTGTCTCAAGTTTTCTATCAAATTTTATGTTAAATTTAATGCTCGATTTGCATTTTATTTTTTTAGATATCTACACTAACAGCGCTATAAATGCAAGAAATTACGATTTGTCGCAATACGATACTGTTAAATAGTAGTCTAGTTTAGCACTATCGCATAACGTCTCCAGCTAGATTGACATACAATATTCATTATATATTAAGTCATATTCTGCCAGTGTCCGACCGACGGGAGTCTAATTTCTTTCAATAATTAGTTTTACATTATGTTTATACACAGAACTTAGACAATAATAATTATTAGTGTATTTTTTGTTTTTCTGCTTTCTGTAGGTGGTGAGTGATAACCATCTTTTCCCTGTTACTACTTTACTTTGTGTGCCTACAAGACTGCTTTTAAACGGTTATGTAATCTGAGCTGAACTATAGATTATTCAATATCTAGACTTTCTACTTTGCAAGCTCTGCTGCTTTTTATTGCACTAGATGTGATTTACTTGAAATTAACCATTTCCTTGCTCAGCAGGTATTCGGTATACAGGAGTATTAAGATGGGATATTCAGTAAGGGATTTAAGTCCACCATATTCTTAGATTACAGTGAGTGACTAGTAATCTACCATATTCTCAGATTAATTAAAAGTAAAAATCGCACCACCATACCATGCTGCCTTTTTTCATTTCGTATGCAACTTATGTATGAAGTGGGTTCGAAGACAGCTAAAGTACGGTAAATTTCAATTTGTTGAATTGGTTTCGGAGCTGAGAGGGGTTTAATCAATTTGATGGAATGAATACCAGTACCATAAGAAGGGCGCAGTAGCACCGACCTAGTATTTTTGACACCTGTTTTTTATATATAACATGAGGCGGTCATTCATTTCCCTTAGTTTAGGTCTCTGATCCTTTACTCAACTAGAGGTTAGTTAAGCTACTTCAAACTCTTAATAACAACTTTTAATTCTAGTCGTTTATAAGTGTTGTTAAGCTACATCCAACCCTTAACAACAACTCTTAACTCTAGTCGTTTATAAGTGTTGTTAAGCTATTTCAAACTCTTGATAACAACTCTTAACTCTAGTCGTTTATAAGTGTTGTTAAGCTGCTTCAAACTCTTGATAACAACTCTTAACTCTAGTCGTTTATAAGTGCTGATCCTTATAGTTGGACCAGGCCACTGTTGAACTGGGTAAAGATACGTCATAAGTAGTATCACGAGATGTAATTTGGTAAACATATAGCATGTACTCGTTTTTAGCTTACGTCTTACGTAGAGTCGTAGACTTACAGGTACAAAAAGTGGTTACCGCTTGTAAGTGAAGTCTCTAACTGGCTTTATCGCTCAGAAACCACCCCAGTAAACGGTACTTACTCTTCATTACTGTGGAAAGTGATGCCTTCTTTTAGAACGTCTACTATTTGTAGTCTGGCTTCTGGTTTATTGGCTGGCTTGTAACAAAGTGAAAAATAAGACTCCTTACGAAAAGGTTTAAATCAGCGAACCAAAGAGTTGTTTGAGTTCAGTTAATAGGGAGTGTTTACTATCAGTATTTACAAGTTTATCTGATATATCAAATACATTTTATTCGGTATTGAACAAATGGCACCATTTACCAGCCTGGATGTTTTGAGTTCTAAGTTAACCCGCTACTCGATAGTTTTTACGGCATCAATTAATGTATTGATCATAACGAAAGTTACAAACACTTTGTGAGTAAATGCGATCTAATAATGACACTGACGTAAGTAACAAAACACGCATTGCCGCATTTAGGGGTCGTTCACATATTACTTAATCACTAAGGAGGGAGGTTCCTAAATGATTACGATAGTGTAACTGTAATTTTAGCACGATAGTTATGTGTAAAACTGATCACGGAGGGCGAGGGGGTTAAAAATTGACAATAAAGCGAGTAATTAATATGTTACGACCCCGCTATTATTCTTTAACGTTATTTTTACTGTCTTCCGACGTTTAATTACAGAAATTTTTTAATTACAGCACTTCAATTCTATTAAATTTAGTAAGTGTCATGTGATGGGATAGAAACGTTTCTTTCATTAACTAAAATAAATGTCATTAAATGACTGTCCTGTGATAGATAGTGTTATGACGTGAACATGAGGTAGTGAGGAATTTGTCTAGACTAAGCTTTGTTAAGCTATGTACAGGTCCAGTACTGGTTAATGTTGCACAATCTCCCGAGGGTGGATTAACCTTCATTTGTAACATATTGTCTAGGTCGAACATTCCGGGCTTTTTGTAGGAAATAATCCGTCGTGTATGTGATGGAGGTAAAATGAGCTGCCAGTTAGCTCATTGGCTGAGGGAACTGTTCTATGAAACTATCCCAGCACCCCTTCCAGTATGCATCTCATTAGTTAACAATATAGTAGATTAATGATTATTGGCCACAAGGGACACGTGTACTACACAATAGTAGAGCAACCTTCAGCTTCCTCAACATCCCACTGAGCGATAGTTAGCGTCCTGTTTTGGGGCTTGTTCTGTTACTTGCAATTCGTTAGATTACTGAGTTACGGTTTAGTGACTGTTACAAAGAAAGGATCAATGCA